AAGAACAGCAATGATGCAAATTTAGATCTAATACTTTCAAATCTTGAATCCTTTCCTGATTTTAACATTCGATATAAGCAAAATACTAAAAAAGAAAAGTGAAGAATGAAAGGAGTTAAAATGACAAATGTGTAAATTACAGTAAATTATCTTGCTTACATCCTAATCTTGCACCCCACAAAACTGCGAATGTCGTCGCGATTATTTGTCGAACATACCATGTCTGTATAATATCAAGAAAACATTATTGATAAAGGGAATAAGGTTAGATTGATCGTTATATTTACCTGACCAAGAACTAATGTTAATATCGCCAATAAAGCAACATTACTGCCACCTATTGAAAGAATGAAGAAATCGTTAACTTGAAAATATAAACTCAGAAATTAAAAGAAAAATTACCTCCAAAATCAGTCACTTTAATATTAATAAAAATATATGTTAGCATATTTGATCGTAATTGAATAACTTCAACTGCTTTGTTGATTACTTACCTGAATCAATTTGAAATGTATAAGCGATAGTAAAAAAAATTAGTTGATATCCAATTGTTAATATTGCTGTTATGGCTAAATAATAATCATCTAATACTCTAACTACCATGATTATTAATAAATAAGTAAAAGAATTTAATGAAACTTTTATTAAAAATATAATTTTTGAAATGTTTAAAATATAAAAAAAATATTTTTTTTTTGCAATACAAAAAAAAAAATTTGAAACGGTAACTTATATTTCTGCACGTTGTGTAACAAAATCGTCAGAATTGTTTTAATTGCTTTTCGATGAATCTGGCAAAGATCTACACAGGACTCCGAAAAAGGTAAATTTTTATATGTCGTACAATAGTTACTGACTAGTATTAGTGCTTCATTTCATGTAATTCTTACCGTCCTCTCAATCAAAGATTTCAAAAAAAAAGGTGACTAATCAAATCTATTTTTATATATATATATATTTAAAATTTCCATAAGTGATCACTGTTAACTTTTTTGAATAAAATAAGAAAAAAGTGGGTTAAGCTTTCGCAGTAAAAAAAGTATAAAATAACGTTTTTACACAAACAACTCAAATAACTGCGCCCGATCGATCATTTTCGTATAATAATCTGCTTCAAATAAATTACACAGTGCATTACTTTATCATGAACTCAATCAAATTGGAAATATGCCATTTTTGCTCTTTCCGCACCTTTTTTTCCTTGCTGTTCCAGTGATATTCCCCGAAAAAATTTTCTGTATTCTTGGGAATCGTTGTTCTTGTGTGACATTAAGAAAAAATTCTCCGATATGATCATCGCACATGATTCAAAAATTAATTCTTTTACTGCGGAGCTCAATACTTGTTTAATATATTCTTCAAAATTTTCTCTTTAATTGTATTTTCGTTAATAAATTAGATTGTATATTCATATAATCATTTACTTTATATTTAAATGAATCAATTAAATTACTTGCTTTAACAATTTCATTATTATCAAATATATTGATGTTTTCTAAATTATTAAAATTTTCAATATCACGTTCTAATTCAATTATAATAAACCTTCTATATCCTACAATACTATCATTTGATAATAGATTATGTGTAAGTTTTGTATATACATCAGAGCATCTATTACTAGTAAAAGTCATTTAAAATCACTAATTAAAATAACAAATTGATCACAAATAG